CATTTCAATACTTTCTGAAATCCCAGTTTCTCGTATTTAGAGCTCTAAAAGTTAGTAGTAAACTTTATCAACTGGTCCTATGATTTGTTCGATCAAACATGGTTTTGATTGAGTGAGAGGATAAATTTTGTCAGAATTTCACTTAAGAAAATGCTTATAGTTTCGAAACTCGCATGTCGAAGGCCCTCGTTCTCGGTTTATTTAATCTTCTTGAAAAGTTTCAGTATTTGGTTATTGCCTCTACCAAACGATCCATGTTTCTATGGCCTCCAAAACACCCACAGGTCAGTATGAAAGCTTTTCAGAAAGCGGATGCCTAAGTGAGCTCTTGCCGCAGTGAGCTCTTGCCGCTAAGAATAGCCCAGTTTCCCAGTTTGTATGTTGCAAATTTTACTCAAAAAGTGGATATTGAATAAGTAATAGAAGCTCGATGTCATTCAAGTAATGACTTCATCTCAGATCAAAATCAACTAAAAGCAAACTTGGAAAGCATGTCGTTTGTTAAAAATAGATGTTCTTTAGGCAATTCTTTTTTTTTGAAAAACACAAGCTTTGATCATGTTTTTTGGATTATTTTGATTTTTTCTGGGACTCAATGATACAAAAACTACTGATATTGGTCTATTTAAAAAACGTACAGTTCCTGACGCTGATTTCTGCAACTTGAGCAGCCAGTCCTTCTCGCCTTGGCACAATGGTCACATTTTGGGAGGTACACAGCTCGATTGTTACTGCGACACTTAGAACTGAAATATAAAAACTTTGCTAAAACAAAGTTTTGTGCACGTGACAATTAGTATACCGCATCAAGCTTTGAAATTTATACTTTTATCTGTTATAAGAATTCAGCTTGAAAAAATAAAACTTTTAAAAACAAATATCGAAAGTTGCAATTTTGCTAAAAATTTTTTTTGATTGTGAGAAAAGCTTTAAATATGAGTAAGAATCACAAGCACTGATTTTTATGACGTCGATTTTCCGTTTTTTTCGGAGGTGATGTGTCAAGTTTGAGGAATTGTTTGTTTTGAGGTCATCTGTTCGGAAAAAAAACGCATAAATCATAGACAATCTGATCGATTTGTTGAACTACTTATTGTACAAAGAAGAACTATAATCTACTATGATCAAAAAAATCTGTTAATTTCTGACATTAAGAAATTCACTTTTAATTATGACATGACTGCTCGTATCAGGTCGACGCCCTGAATGCTTCAAATGTCTTTTAAGGTCGATGGATTAGTGTTGACTTAAAAAAAACCTATTTGTTTTCTGGAAATCATCCCCACAGACTTCGTAAAGTACAAAGTAATAGATTTTGCATACAGCAAAGTATCGAATACAACTACCCGGGTCAAATTTCGGGACCAAAAATTGGTTTTTCTCGATTTTCTCGACCAAAGTTCGGTATGTTTTGACTTTGTTGACGTCATTTCGGTATGTTTTGACTGACATCTGGACTTTCTCGAAAGACATTTTCTTAACATTTTTTTGTTCGTTGACCCCGCACAGATATGCTTCTCTCATGTCATGACGTTCTCTCATGACATATCTACAAAAAAATTCGACCCCTCATAGATTTGAACAAAAAAATTTCCAAAAACAATTTTAATCTACTTTTTGCATTTTCCTGCACGTTCATCCTCTTTATCACGGTTCACTAGCCCTCATGTCCCGCGCTACACCCCTTGTTCAGTTTGGAATAATTTCTAAGACGGATTAAAACTCCGCCTATGTATAACAGCGCGAAATAAATCATGCGTTAATTGTCCCAAATTTTCTAAATTGGCAATCTTATAAGCCCCATAATTTTACAAATTTTTTTAAAAAAATTTGAGCGCAGGACAGCAATACCGTTCAAATGAAATCAAACAATATGGTCAAAAATGGCTGGATGTCTAGAAAAAATTAGCTATTGATCTAGGGAAAAAGCAACCTCGAGCTCAAATATTCCATCACTTATTCGAAAGTCGGAACAAAAATCCATTTTTAGACAAGGCAATTGTTTTTGATATAAACTGCGTTAAAGCCCTGGCTTACTGGATTCATACTAAGACGCTTCAACTCAGCGATTCAGCCTCCTCAGCAACCAAAGAGTCCCCCTTTGATATTGTTTTTTGAAATCTAGTTTTTGCAGACCAAACCTAAAAATTTTTTAAAGACACCTTTGGTGCCACATATACTACTTTTGATCCTTCAAAAGAGCGAAATTTTTAATGAACATTTTCCAAACAAGACCTTCAAAAAATTTAGGACCTTTTTTCCTTTTTTCTGAAGTTTGCCTGGAGCATGAAAAATCATATCGTCGAACAACAAAAAGTCGACAAATTCCGTCTCATCAAGAAAGTTCTAGATCCGCCTCTGAAAACGGTAAATCATTTTTTGCGAACGTTAAACTCAAATTCTCCTTTTGTCATTTTTACAAGTGCAGTTTTTTAAAGATGATTTTTAAACTGAAATTTAGACTTTTTGGAGTTTTAGTTCTGCAGCAGACGTAAACCAGTTTCAAAGCTAATTGAATAAGCAGATAATATCCACATAAATGGCCATCGTTGTTGGTGCTGGCACTTGAAGTTAATATGAGATTTCAGAAGTGATTTTTTTTTGCAAAAGCTTATGTGTTTTAAATTACATCCATCACAGTTTGCTATTTGCCAACTAGTTTTATATTAAGGCTTAGCGTAGTAGGCAATTTATTTTGGATTACATTTAACCAGAGGCTAAATAAATCACTTGAATATTTTACATAGTGTGTAGAATAACAAAACCGACTGTTTTTGACATTTTTTCTAAATATGAGAAGTCTTGTTAGAATCAATTTACTTCAAACACGTATGATTCAATTTTTTTCAGTTTGTTTATATATCTACCCTCAATAAAATCTTTATAAAACCAGCGTTGAGATTGCTGCTTCTGAAATTGATTTGAGATCTGAGTTCCGTCTTGTTCCGTCTTTCGAAAAAGTGATGGATTATTTGTACTCGGGATGGGTTTTTCTTCTCCATAATTTTCGAATTTTTTACTGGCCATTTTTGACGGATCTTTTTATATCAGCTGTTGTTTTGAGTTCAACTTCAAACAAATATTACACTTGTTATTATTTTGTGTATAGTAAGTAGGTCTTAAAGATTGCCAATTTGGCTAATTTAGGACAAGTATCGCACGATTTGTACTTTACTTGACGTGTGGGGTACGGTTTTCAAAAAGTCTCAAAAATTGCATTTTTTTGTCAAACTTCATAATGGTTCAAACAAACAATACCCCCTATAATATAAAAATCAGTCAAAACATTAAGATTTTTGCCCTGATACGAGCAGTTTTGTTTTGTTTTCTCGATCTTCGAAAAAAACAGAATATTTATGTTTGGTGTGGTTTTTTAATCAGTGAATTTTCGGCGATCGGATTAATAGTTTTGAGTAAAAACATTCTAATGCCCCAATGAAGATATTGACTCCCAAATTACAAATATATTGGTATATTTTACCTCCGATTATTTTTTGCAAAATTTTGGGAGTTTGAAAAATCGTTTGGTCATGCTCTGGACTAATTTATGCAAGCTTTGTAGATTTTTCTATAATCCTGAAAGCGTAACGAAGTTTATTTAAGCGTGGCGCTACATACCGCACAACAATATCGTTCCAAATTGAATTGAAGCTAGTCGGTCGTATTAGTTTCGTGCGATGGAAGTTTTCACACATGATCTTTGATATTGTCCAAAGTTTATTGTTTTTCATAAAACAAATTTGCCAAAAACCGTTCGATATGAATAAGGGCTGGTCGGAACGTTCAGCGCTTTGCCCTGATATGCGAGCAGTCTTGTTCTTTTAAGGCTAGAATTTTGAATTAGCAGAAAATTTAAAATAAACTAACAGAAGCAGAAAAAATGATTATACCAAGTTTCATTAATAAGTGTGAGATGATAAGATTGTTTTTCCCTGATAAATCTTACGATAAACGTTGAATATACTTTAATAAAAAGTTTTCATAAAAAATCTCTATTTCAGTTTCCTGGAAAAATTTTGGACTGGGAAAATGCCATTTCTCATCGCGATGATTTATTTGCCAATTTTACAGAGTTGTGTTCATGTTGTAACCGTTATTCAACCGACCTGTGGAAATTGGCGCGACGGAATGCTTCTCTTTCCCGTTGAGAAGAATTGAGTAGTAGTCATCTTCAAACTGGTTCAAAAAATCATCCGGTGTTTTCCATTGGAGAATTATTAATGTAGGACTGAAGAAAGTGAAACTGGGTTCTTGTGCTTTGCCGCCAAAACCTAATCAGAAAATGTTTATTTTTCGGAAGAGTATTTATTTTGTTGCCCTTTTTTAAGTAGTTTCTGGTCACAAACAATGGGGGCGTCAGAACAATTTTGTGTTGATAGGTCATATCATAACTCGTGTAGCAAATAGTACCAAAGGGGGCACCCTTTGCTTGGCAAGGGTCTATAGAATTCCTGAGAGGGGCACTCAACCTCCCCCTCAATTTCGCTGTTGACTATCCGCTTTTTTATTGCACCAACTCCAATAATTGACGATGAACGCAAGCAAAGAAAAACCGACTTGGTTTTTAAATAAATTAACTTTCGATTTTTAGCGAAAAAAAGTGGGTGGCATTAAATTTCTTCGAAATTTAAGAAAACTTTATGAGAATTATTTTTTTAAATAAAACAACCAATTTGAGCAAACTGGACTATTAGTTAACTTTTTTGGTTATTCGCTAAAAAATCTAAGTAATATCCACTTTCAAATTTGAGTTTTTCACATTTTTTTGCTCCATTTGCGCTTTAGTTATAGACAGAGTGCCATTTGCCGTCCATTTAACGAAGGAACATTACTGAACTTAAAAGTTAAATCAAACCCCAAAAGATTTACAACATTAAAAAAATCATATAAAAATCATCAAGGCGACTTACATAAGTGTTTTTATTACGTTCATTTATGAAAGCGCCGGAATCCAGGAATTTTCTTCTGAAAAAGATTCATATACCAATACGAAAAAAAAAAATTATAAACTGAGAGCATTATTGAAGAGATCGTAAATATTTTACCTCGAGTTTTGCAGCTTATATTTCGAGTGCTGACATTGAAATCGTAAAACACTTCTTGAAATTCGTCTTTTGATTGACAGGGGTTTGGAATTGAAGTGCGCACTGAACATATGAATTCAGTGGCAACTGGTAGAGATTTGATCGACGATGAATCGAAAGTGTAGGCAGTCTGATTGTTTTGAGTCGAAGCTAGTAGCCACGTGGATATTAGGGTCTTCCCACTTAAGGTTGTAATTGTAATTTCGTAACCATCTGGCCTTATTCGTCGGGTGTCGGCGGGTTCATCCCACGACAACAAAATGGCAAATTCATCGGAAGGAATTTGTTGCAGGTTCAGAACCGGTTCGGGGCCTAAATATCTGTGATTAGATGAATTTGGTTCCAATTTATCCGCAGTTTAATTAAAAACCGTAGTTTCATCGATTAATATGCTAGCAAGTAGCTAAGAGTCGTTCGTCTACATTTGTTTTATATTGATTCTATTAAAATAGCGCAAAAACTATCGGAATATTTTATTACTAAGTTCAATTTCAAGGAACATTTTTTCATTATTTCAACTTTTTTTTCAAAACTAAAATGAAAAAACTGTCAAATGAACAATTTCATAAATAGGATAACTGATCTTTAAAATAGCAATTATTTTTGATTCCACAGTTTCCTGATGTACAAAATTAAAAAGAAAAATTGCACAAGAATCTTTGAATTTTTCTTTGAGTTCAACCAGGCTCAACCTTTGCTTGATTTCAGCCAAGTTTTTCAAGCAAAAGTTCAGACTGGTTGAAATCAAGGAAAAATTCAAAAATTTATGTGTATCTTTTCTCTTCAATTTTGTACAATAGGAAACGATGGAATCAAAAAGATTTGTTTATTTTGAAGATCAGCTATCCAATTTATGAAAACAAATCAGGTTCAGGATAGAGTTGTATCAGTGTCACGAAAAGTATACAAAAAAATTGAGTCGTATGGCTAGTGTCTATTTGAAAGTAAAAAAAAATGGTTTCGCAATTGAAGTTTTTTAAATTCAGGCTCGCGAAAATTGGTAATGTTATAGAACTAATCACAGAATACATTTTTGCTTCTATTTCAGATTTTTATAGAGTGAAGTTGTATCTGGGAATAGGCAAGAAATCAGAAACGCGATGAAATTTCAAACCAACAAAAAACAAGCTGGTAAAAAAAAAACGCTTCAGTTTTTCAATTTAAATAGGTAATTATATTAAGGATGTCTACAGTTACAAAATATAATCTCATCAATAAATCAAACTCTTAAAAAAACTTGCTAAAGTCTTGCATCAAAAAGTCCCTTTTAGAAGCTTAAACTTACCACGAAACAAAATCAAACTAAGTTAAACGAAAACTTTGTTTTTTTTTATGAAAAGCAAGAAAGATCCTTATTGTTCATATTTTTGCAGAGGGCGAAAAATATAGATAGTGGGGCTGTCTTTTTTCAGTCCAACTTCCCGTAAAAGTTTTGGGGAATCTGGTCGTTCAATACTTTGATGACCTAATCAACCATGCTGAGAGCAAAGCAACAAACATAATTTTGAACAAAAAAACGTTGTACAAAGCAATCTTTCAAATTGAAATCAAGCAAATTCGTCTCATTAATTCTTTATACGACTCAAAATTTGGCAAATGAAGGGCAGTCGCAACAATCAGCATTTTGCTCAGATACGAGCCGTCTTGTTGTTGAAATCGATTCAGCTACTGTATTGCCATATTAATACAAGGATAGCGTGCAAGTATCACACAATGCTCCGACCATAGTCTTTAAAAATCTACGATTTTTTTTATTATAAAAAATTGTAGAATTTTCTGCGTGGTGTGAAAAAAGAATCTGACATCAAGTTATAATGTATGCATATTCGACAGTCGCAGTAAGATAGGACAACGTTTCTTGAAGTTACAGGACAACAGTACAACAGTTTTTGAAGTAACAAGACTAGAAAAACAACAAAAAATCAAAATTGGCAAAAAATGGCATTAAAAACCTCCGGAGCTAATTTAACTCAAATAAAATGAATATAAGCATAAATAAGCTATTGTAAAAATCTAAAACCAAGCAAAACTAAGCTTGATAGCTCGCTCGCTTCACTAATTCAAGTTCAACCTAAAAGTCAAAAAATTCAAACCGGTTTTTCTCGATACATGCAGAAATTTTTTGAATTTTTCTAAATGTCGTTCGAATCAATATTGAAAGATTTCTGATATGATATATCACTCAAATCTCTCCAATGATTGATTTTGGTAACCGATAACGAAAAAGAATAGGCAAAAACAGCCTAATACAAAGTTTCTCGCAATTGTTCAAATTGTCGGAACAAAAAATGAAAAAGCCGAAAAAACACATAGAGCATGACTGCTCCTCTGAAGGCAAATATTTGACTGTTTCAAAAGACCCTGACAGTGTGCCAAAAAATTGGAACAACTGTTTTTGTACTATAAAAAGTATGCAATTTTTAATGGTAGCTGAAGATTAATTAAAAGAAATTCAGTTAACAGATAGCTCGTTACCTGTTGTTTGTTTTACTTTTTATATGCATGTAATGTAGAGCAAAGACGAAAAGATTTTAAAAAGGAACGGTGTTGTGGTATTGGCTGCTAAACATTACATTGTTAAAACGGCTGACATAAGAAAAACAATTTTTAAGTTTTTTTAATCACCCGATTGGGAAAAAGTCAATTTTTTTCTGTGCTATAGTTTTTTCTTTTTTTGATGAAAAGTCTGATTTTTGGTCCCAATAAAGTAAACCTAAATTAAAGTCAGAAACGTCATTCTATACCAGATTTTGACTTTGAGAGATCATAAAGCTTGTGCTAGACGAGGAACTATTCAAATTGAACACTTTGAAGCAAAAAAACTTTCGTTTTTAATAATTCCAAAAGATCGGACACTTGGCACCCGCTTATGTGTCCTTGGTTCTGCTCAAAATACCAAAAATAAAATTCCAGTTGTCACGAGTCTCCAACAAGCAGTGATAATTTTTTTGCTCAGGAATCCAGGAATTAGGTAGGCTAACTATCTTTAATGACACATGACAAAGTTGTTCAAAGAATGGAAAACAGTTCTCGATCAAATTATAATAAAGACTCTGCACGCAATGACTGGTCTATCAGTTACCAATAAACAGATGCATAAAATTTTTTTTGAACTTTTTTTTTAAGTTGACGAACATTTCATCTTTCTAAACCAAACATTTGGATGAAGAACATCGAATCAAAAAAATTTTGCTACTTGTAACAAATCATTTATGGCAAATAAGCTTCGTTGAACCAATTTGCAACTATTTCTAAGAGGGATTAAATCTCGCTTACGTGTTAATAGCGCGAAATATATCGCGCGTTAATTGTCCCAAATTGGCCAAAATGGCAACTTTTAAACCCCTATAATTTCACAAAAAACGATCTCAGGTGAAATATATTTCCAAATTTGAGTTCAGGACAACAATACCTTTCGAATGATATAAAAAAATTTCGCCAAAAATAGCTAGTTAAAAAGTCGAAACTTGTCTGAAAAAACAAAACCCACTCGAGAACAAATATTCCGTTACTTTTGTATCGAAAGTCGGAACAAAAAGCAAATGATCAAGAAAAACATAAATTTTCAGCATTTCAACACATAAACACCCAGATGCAAGTAAAATCTTTAGCAAAAAAAAAACAATAATTCTTGCAGATAGACCTTTGAAAATGTTTCAGAATTTAACAAACATGAAGGTACGATATATTGATAAAAACGTTTTAATCCAAAGCAAATACAAAGACATAGCCATATTTTGAAAAAGTCATTAAAATTGTCTACTTGTGAACAACTAACTAATCTTTTTGACAAAGCAAGTACATTAAATTGAGCTTTCCTTGAGATGGGTTAAAACAAGAACAAAAATAGTATTATTACATGCCTAGGATTTGATATACTCTCTGCAAGAACAATTTTTGAGTTCGCACTAACTTTTAGACAAAAATTTTCCCGGACGGTCGAATTTTTGGGAGGTAAAAAAGCTACTGCCTTGATTAAGTTTTCAAAGAGCTCAAAATAATCAACACATAAACTTCTGCAGTTCAGGATTTTAAAAAGCATAGTAGGGGTAAAGTAATTGCCAAAATCTTTGACGTGAGAGGAAAGAACATTTTTGAAACAATCAAATATAGATATAAAAAGTAAAATTAGTTTTGAAAAAACACGCAGTTTGGCTTCCAAATAAAAAAATCTTCCTTTAATGCTGCCATGCACATTATATTACAGTGTTTGTAACGGAGAGGGGTCCACAGTGATTAAATTTGGTTCTTGATAAGTATTTTTCATCTTATTTCGAAATTTTCTACAAAAATTTAAAACATGAGTTTCTCAAAATTGTTGATCGCTTTTCTCGTAAAGAATTTCAACAAGCAGCAAAATAGACTATTTGAATTGGAAAACTTTAATTTTTGAATAACAAAAAAAACAATTCTACGGCAAATCATAGCTTCTTTGCAATCTATGAAGGTAAAGTAGACGCAATTTTTCATCATAATCACGAAATCAAAATTTTTAAATCCTGCAATTTTTTTTGGGATTAAATTCAAGTTTTCTGCACTAGTAAACAAAACGCTCGAGGAATTCGTCATTTTATCTTGTCGAACCTTATTACAACAACTGAACACAGATAAAAAAAATTCAAATGAAGTTCGGTTTCCAAAAAAAATCGGATTAATTGTTCGGATTCTAGTTTTATCCCAAATAACATAAAACTACAAGCTTATAATTTAACCAAACCAATAAGCAATTGAGTTGAAGAATCGAATCTAACATGTTTTCGATGTTCAAAAATTGAAAGAGCCTTTGTTTTACACGAAGAAATAAACTTTTGACAACAGAATTAATTTAAAAATATATTCTATGAAAACTTTTTTGATTGCTGTAGTATGACTAGTTCTTTCAAGTTGCATAGCTCCTTTAAGCTGCATAGAAACAAATTTTTTTTTTTACATGTAATACTCATAGCCGATTGAACAAGAAAACATGCAAAGAACTAGCTGCCAGAGTCTTAAAAATCCTAATTTACAACCAAAAATCAAACTTGTTACCTTGTTCAAAAATTTAATGAAAAAATACCTTTCTGTTAAAATTAAAGGTATCAGAGGATTGCGAAAAAAATTTTTTCATAAGTTTTTTTAGTATTATAATTATTATCCATATTATAGGTGTCACATGTGAATGTAATCTCTCCCATACATATTTTTCAGAAAGGGTAAGAAAAAAATGTACTGCATAAAACTTTGCGAAATGTACCACTGGTGAAGTTTTTCAAGGCCATGGTTATCAAACAAAATCTTGTAACTGAACAAAACTTTTTGACAAAACTGCTACTTTCAAAGTAGAAATAGTTCTGGAGTAAAAACGTTATCAAACGTCTGTAGGAATTATTTCGTCATTGAAGTGCAAAATTATATAACTAGCTAGTAGCGGACTTAGGGGGGTGGGGTTAATATCGACCCCTTGCCGACCTTAAGTGTCCCCCTTAACCCTGAAATTTTTCTACAGACACCTTGGCGCCAGTTTTTACTAACTTCGACGGGGGAGCGCGCGCCGAAAAAACGCGGTTTTTTGGGCAACATTTTCAAAAAGTGCCTATAAATGCTTTTTTTGGCCTGCTGTTCAAACATTTACCTGCGGAGCAGAAAGGTCAAACTAGGGTCCTTATAGGGATTTGGGAGAGCTCAGTAAAGGACGACAAAATTTTTGATTTTTTTTATCCCTGCATCCCCGAGAAAATCTTACGTCGGCACTTGATTTGATTCTAACCAATCGAAGCATAAAAATATTAAGTTATCCGATAGATAGCACATGATACTTATTCAAAGGCAGAATTTGTAGAATAATAAACATTGACAAAGTAGCATTGATATAAACTGTTTTTTTTATCAGAAAGAAAAAGGTGAAACTTGCCTGAGCAGTACTCGAAGGTAGCAATTTCGTAAGACTCGACATTTTCACAACCTTCTATGTAACTCGCGACTTGAATTCTAAAAATATCGGCAGGAGGAAATTTCACTGCTATTGCTCCATCTGCAGACGCGTTATCCAGTCCTGCTGGAAACATCACTGAGGCGACAGGAGTGATTGATTTAATTCTGAACCCATCGATTTTTCCATCGACAGATTTTATGTCAGATTGAGTTGATGCTCCCAAATAAACCACGTCCGACTGTTGTTTTATCGAGATGTAAGAAAGATCCACACCTCTTGGGACTAAAACAAATGAAAATGATTTAATTTTAAAAAGCTTCAATTTATTTGAAACTCCCAACTACTTTCGCTACTTTTGTCAAATTAAATTTTTTTGATAACTCATTCATAGATCACTAAGGAATTAGTTTGGCAAGTTTTTATGCCTTAGTTGTCAAAAAACTCAACTTCTACTTTTTTATTCTTTAACTTTTTCAAATATCATTTTGTCAAATGTTACTTAGGAACTCATCAAATTATTTGCATCGACTGAAAGCAATTGGCTCAACTACTTTGTAAAAAATTGAAGTAAAAAAATAAGGTGAAAAACGAGAAAAAACTGCCAGCGACTGACTTTTTTTAGTGAACGGTTGGTTATTTTAACGCTTTATTTTTAACTTCTTCTTTTAATCGCCAATATGTTTGACCTCAAAACTTACCAAAAATTTAAGATCAAATTGAAATAGGAGAGTTATAAAAACGCCACGGAAGACATTATTTTTTTTCAAAAAAATTATCGAAAGCCTATCGACGTCAACCAAGAAAAAAGAAAAAGGTAACAAATTTGTTGATCTGGAAAAAACAAAAAATACGGGTAATTCGAAAGATTCAGAAAATAAAGACAAAATTTTAAAAAATGGAGCAAAAAAAACGTAAAAAATACCAGAAATAATTAGTTAAACCCACCAGTCGAAATCAATGAACGCGGCCAAGAAATAAATGACCAAGATCACGAAAAAATTGTACAAAAAAAACCAAGAGAGGATGAACACCGCGGATTATTACTGAAAGTATCTATAGTGAACGAAATAAATGGAGAACAAACATCAGAAATTATATTATCGAGAGGATTTGGAGGCCACAAAATTTCTGTACTGGTGGAACGGGTGAAAATTTACAAACCTCGCATTTTCAAACACGTAAGTACATTGATTGGAATAACTTACTGTCTTTCAAGCACATGCGATGCAGAAGAATCTGTGGAAAATTTAGAGAAATTAATCTATTCATTAAATCGTAAATCGTTTACCCCCCAAACAGTCTCAATCTTTAGTGTAACTCCTTTAGGAGCTTTTAGAAAAGATTTTGATGCAAATGTACAGAAACCTAATTAGCAGTATTTTAACTTATTTCGACAAGTTTGAAAGATTTAGGCGATGTAAGGTTTGTACTTTAGACATTAACAAGGTTTTTAACCAGAATAATGATGCTCTTACTTCGGACGTACTGCATCCTTTTGATACAAGTGTTGAATTTTTACTGCAAAACTTTAGAGATTCTTTTAATAGTTCTTCAATAATACCGAATTCTTGTAAAAAAACAACCCGAACCATTTTAAACCCCAAAAACTATCTAATTTAGATCCGAAAACCGCAGATATGCTTATTTTTTTTCTAAACAGTGCAAGGCCTCTCAGAAACTAGTTTTTTTGTGTTTTTTTTCTTCGATAAGTATTTGGCGTATAAGTTTGAATTTTTTAAACCAATCTGTGATGCTAAATAATTAAATTTTATTTGTTTTGTGCCGCGTTTTTAATCGCTATATCTCAAATAGAAGTATTGGAGAAAGCGAAAAAATTTCTGGTATATTTCAGCTCCCGGAAGTTTTTTTTCATAGTAAAACTGAAAAAATATGAGCGGAGATCACCCCAACTGACTCCTTCTCTCAAAAACAATTTGTTACTTGCACCAAGAGTGAAGGCCTATACGAAACAATAGAAGTTGTCTATAAGTGTGTTCCAAGAATGCAAAAAAAAACTGAAATTTGTTCAGTTGAGTTTTCAAAATGTAATCAGAAAATCAAGTAGGTAAACAAAGTTGTTGAGGAATTGAGACAATCTTTGATAAAAGTACAAGTTGGTGATGTTTTTTTGTTTATACCAAAAAAAAATTGACTCCGAAATTTTGTTTTGATAATTCTTATAAAACGGAACCTTTTGCCTGACAAATATTAAATGTGGAAAGGTTTTGCCAAAACTCTTTTTACTTTCAACAAAGATAACTACCGTAAATCAGACTCTTTAAAACTCTTTCGGCTCATTATTGGTTTGAGTTATACCACAGCTTAGACGCACAAAACGTGTTTTCATTGACAATAATTTCAATTTCTTTTGCTCTTGACCAACATGCGCCAATAAAAAAACATCAGCAATTTTAAAACTGAAAATAAGCTGAAATTAAATTGGGTTGGTTCAGAGTGCAAAGAAAGTTTGAAAAGTAAGCTAGAATCGCAATTAGTTTATCGAAATCAAAATACTGAAGATAATTGCCAAGTCTATCGTCTTTGCCGTGAACAAGTGGCCAGCATAATTAAATATAAACGAGAAAAGCAATCGCTAAGTGTCTTTTCACTTCGGAACACTATTCAGCAAAAATGGAAAATTAACAACCAGGTTCGTGGTTACTGTTCAAGCAGCAGCAGAATTCCGGCAATACAAAAGTCATTCAATGAAATGGTAACTCAGAATGAAATATAAAAGTTGCAAATCATTTTAACTATTTATTCTCAAAATTAGGCGAGTTTTTTGGCTCTGTTAAGTCGCAATCTTATATTCCAGTTAAGCCTGAACTTCAACTTTCTCATTTTCAGCACATAACACTGAAATAATGCTTTGAAAATTAAATGTCAAAAAGCCTCTGGGAACCTCTACTGTACCTGCTTGGGCAATAAGTAACAGCCAACTAATAATTTTGACCCACCTTGTTTTTGTTATTATTTCCTGAATAGATGAGAAGGTTGATCCATTGAAACTAAAGAAAGCTAATGTCACACCCTTATTTGAAAAAGAGAACCCGTTAGATCCAAAAAATTATCGCAGAATTTCAAAAACATATGCGTTTTTCGAAATCTTTGAAAAAATTCTTCTGGCTCAAATAACGGAATACTTAGGGTAAATGTGAATGGAAGTTTTTCTGACTGGGTTGAAGTTACAAAAGGTGTGCCAAAAGGTACGGTACTGGGTCCATCAATGATATACAAAAACGAATATCTCATGAATATACTTTGGTGCAACATACATACGACTGTTTGATATTTGCATCACACCTTTTACTAAAATGATGAGTGATATCAGTTACAAAGTTCCTTGCTCGAAATCACTAAATTTTTTGCCGAGACTAAGTTGAATTTGGTTGCATAAAAATCAGAATTAAACTTTTTAGCACAAAAAACGATAAACAGAAAATGGAAACTGATCAGCCTATCATAAATGAGAAATACGTAACAAAGAAAACTGAATGCAAGTTCTTTATTCGAATCTTTTATTTCGATCTCAAAGAAAAAAATATTGCAAAAAATCACCCCTGAATTAAAAGATAGATACTATTCGACAACAAACTTCCCACAGTGTGTTTGATTGCTTTGCTTCATTGTTTAGTTTTAAGTCATTTATTTTTGCAGCAATGTTTTTGCAGCAAATGAATTCAACTTTAATGATGTCCTCAGAAAAGCAATTAAATTGGGCTTTGAAAGGTACATTTTTAAAATCAAAATTGTAATCTTTTGCCGCACTACAAAAAAGTAAACCGTTTGTCGGAGATATGAAAAAAAATTAGTGGAAAGGTGTTTCTTAATTATATCAGTATCTTACTAATATAAGGCTTGCTTTTAAAATGCATTGATTCTACCGAAAGCGAATTACAGAATAATTCAACGAACAACGCAAGTAATGTTTGATAAGTACTGTTCAACTGCTTCTCTACAAAAACGTTTTTTTTTCATCTGACGTCAAAATAATGGAATTCGTTGCTGAGTAAGTTACGAAATTTTGGTTTTGTTTACCTCATCAACATTCAAGAAAAAAATTATAAGAGTTCTACATTACTGAAACTAAGTCTACTGTTATATGTACGTATACAAAGACATGGCGTGAATTCAGTTTTGAGAATTGATTTTCAATTATGTGTTCAGTTTGACAATGTTTTAATAAATTTACCCGATTCAATTTTTACGGGTGTACAGATATATCTTCTTACTTTTCACATTTTCATTCCCAAATTGATGATTTTATTGAAGTAAATTTTTCATCTCATAATATGGAAACATGAGTAACTAATCTACATTTGTAACTATATTTTGAAAACTAATTTTAGTCTTCTACTTCTTCTTCTTCTTCTTCTTCTAAAGCAACATTAAACTTTCTGAACAGTAGAATTAAATGGTTTAATGTGACAGTTTCATAGATTTGGCTACATTCTGTAATTTCGCGCTGATGGAAAACTGGTACTTTGAGAGCAAAACAACCGGGTATAAGCTAGAAAAAATACTTTGAAAGTTTCATAGAGGGAGATCTAAACCAAGTAGCACTTGGTTGAGAATCAATAATGTTCTCTCATTTTTTGTAAATGTTTCCCAAATGATAACTTTGTGAGAAAAGGATGGCTTAAATCTTCAAATGCTTTTAATTTCGATAATTATTATTCTGAGAAAACTGTTTGAAGATAAGCTAAGTAATCGTAACTCATATTGTTTTTTTTTAAACGCGGATTTGAAAAAGTTTTACTCCGTTAAAGAGACTGAGTTCTTAAAAAAAATTCTGAAGTTTCAAAAAAGTTATCGGTCAAAAACTGGATTTAAAGTGTTAATATTTTTGATCGGTAGACAACACTGACAGCGGTGATCAGAATGCTGATTGCTAGGTGGCAATTAGCCGTTATTAATAATGTACTAGATGATTCGTCTGTTTTCGTTTTTAGCTTTACTATATGTCCGTTAGGATCATCTTCTGATAAATTGGCCGTGTTTTTAGTTTCGAATGCTTCTGAAATTGCCATTACTGAGAACTTATTTGGTAGTTGTCCCAGCCATCTCTGGATGTAACTGTTGCGATTGCCACTAGATCGTTATCTGTTTCGTGATTCTCAGTTTCGATTTCCTCCTGCTGTTCCTCATCGTTGCCATCCACATATAATTAACGTTTCCTGATCGAGACACACTTTGGCAAAATGACCCAGTTTGGCACATTTTGATCAAATTTTATCTTTTGTTGGGCATAATTGTAAGTGATTTTGTCCGAATTGATGACCACATTTGTAACATTGTTGCTGATTATTGAAGTTTGCGTTCAGTTGTTGTTGTCCTCTTATAATTTGTGTTCTACGTGGTTATGGTCGACCTGGAAATCCGGCCCGTCCTCTCTGTGAACCTTGGTTGTTAGCATAATTACTACGGCCACGTGTGTTGATATAATGTACTGGTTCCTGTTTGATTTAGTGCGACTATGTTCATTACCTTTTTCCCGGGGTATTGCATATTCATACGCATCTTGAGGATTTCGCGTATGGACTAGTAGTTTTTCTGCAGTTTTCACGTTATGCATATGTGCGGTGAACATTTCTCTGACAATCTCCACAATCGGCCCTCCTAACTAGTTTGACTATGTCTGCGTGAAATTGTTCAAGAGTTTCTGTTTTCTTTTGCTTTCTACAATTGAAATTGTACCTCTCAAATGCTATGACTATGTTTGTGACGAAAATACCTCCTAAATTGTGTTATTAGGGCTCTTGTGGTCACAGTATTTGAGTTAAAGGCTGGTCTTTTTAGTGAACCTGTCGTTGCCCCTCGGCACCAAGACAAAGACAAATATAACTTCGTACTTTTGCATCTGCCTCATCCCACCGGAAAGAATTACATAAAACTCCTTTGTCTTGAGCTTTAAGCACGTGGTTTTCCCAACCGACTAGATTTTCTTGATTTCTGACTTAAAGGTTTTTTCTTTGTGCTTCCGTTTCCCCCGTTTTTTCCAATTCGTAAATAGGTAATGTCGGTTCAACTAGTGTTGGTTTAGTCTTTTATAGTTTTCGTACTTTTATCCCGTCTTTCGCAAATACCGCCATTTCGAACTTTGCTGCCTATTTAGACCACTCTAGTGGTGGTTCAGCTAAATCCTTTTCTCAGAATGAATTGATTTTCAGTAGGTTTTCGAAAACTCTGCTAACTGCGCCATGCCAAACCGCAATGTATGAACGTGTGTATATAGAATCCGAACGGTTTGATAAACGGAATCTTTAATGTGAGCTTGGTAAAAGTAGCTGTTCTTGAGAATCGTCTGACATATTGCTCATATTTAACGTTGGCTTAACGCCGTACAGGTTCAACTGACCAAACATGAGATTATAATTTTGAAGAGTAATTACTTGATTTTGCATCCATTATTGTATTTATTGTCTTAATTGTTTTTTATTCTAGTTTTTAGTTTTGAAATTAAAGATCAAACCTCTCGTTTTACTGAGAGTCCGTGAATTTCTGGCTGCTTTTTTACGTCTATAAAACAGTAATTTTCACTTTTTGTTTTCCATTTTTTTTAAACACTTGTCCTTAACTTACATGTTATGATGTTATGTTAAGTACACCATTGGGTTGCAGTGTCTGGTAACGCATTAGTAGGACCAAATAGCTTGCTTCAATTCATTTTGAAAAGTTTTTCGAGACGCACTATATTGCCACCTGAGCATTATGAGCTTGCAATTATTAGCCGGGTTGACCTCCATACACCGAAAATACAATTCCATACAACAAAAATCATTATCATACAATTCTATACATCCGGTGTATGGAGAAAATGCTTGCCATACAATTTTGCCACAATTTTTTTTTGTTCTTTTTATCAACCGCAATTCAAATTTTGTACGCAAACGAACCTTTTCCGAAAAAAATTTATGGATGCCAAATTTAATTTTTTGTTTGCATAACGTAGCCCTGGTTACGATAATTTTGGCTTTTTTCGTTTCACTTAAATTTTTTTTTTCAAAAATGCTGATAATTGCTACTTCGTTTGTATGGCGTGCTTATGTATGCCTTGATCAATGACTGATAATCTGAAAATTCAAAAATTTAAAATAATCATTTTTGAAAAATTTTGCCAAAAATTAAAAGTTGTTACTTTCGTTGTATCATTTGTGAAAGACAGCTCGAAGACATTTCAGGTCGTTTTCTGAGCATTGTAAATGCAAGACCGTCCAAAATTTATTGGTTTGAGTAACCAAGGTCATTGTCCCTTGTTTTTGGTTGCAAACAGAGCCCAAAATTTCTCAGAAAATGAAATTAGAAACAAAAAACAGCTTTTTGGTTTATGGAAAAACTCCTATCATACAATTTCCATTTATGAGAAAAGGTTTATTATAGAGATTTTATACAATTTTCTGTACGTATGGAATTGTATGGATTGTATGAAAAGAAATTTCCCATTAATGAGAATTGTATGATAAGCATTTTTGGTCAACCCTGGAAGTGTCTCTTTAAAATTGATAATTTATGAAAAGCAGCCAATGCATATTTGATTTTCTCTTTTGATCAAAATCCTACTCCCGATGCACGCTATAAATACCAAGGGATGAAATTTTTGTCTGGTAACTTTTTAAAAGGATCAAATTGCTTGCTGCATAGTGTATTCGAACAAAATATGTTGCTCATCGATGATCCCATTTTGAATTGTTGTGCTCAAAGTAATCGTAGATTCAATCCCCCATCAATTAAAATGAAAGTTCGTTTCAATTTTGATTTTGACCTTCAATTGTTTTCAAATCAAGTCAAAAGAGACTAAATATTAGGTTTAGATTCAACATTACGAGGCCAAACTGAGTAATTTGTTATTTGTAAGCGGAATCCGCATTAGGTTGAAAACAATTTGCTGTGAAATTCGCAACATTGCTACGTTTCTTTGATATTTTTTGCTGTTTTGGATTGCACAAACTTATCACTAAAACACGGCAACATTATCATGTTTTATGTATTTGCGGATTCATTAAAAACTTGCCGATAACATTTGCAGAATCTAAATAACTTTTTTTAGTGGAGTCCACATACATTTTCAAACATGTTCCAAAACTTGTCTCTGAATTCCATTGCCCTATAAACACCAAATTGTGCCCCTATCCAGTGCACAGTTTCGCCTCGTAATGATCCGAAGAAAAAATATAATTAAATTTCTATGAGAGTAGATAAAATACACATAGAGACAGTTGTTCCCAGTTTCGAAGACAAGTACAACTTATTTTCTCGCGACACAATTTTTCACCTGACTGTTTTGAGGTCTCTAATTAATGTTTTTCTACTAAAACTACGGTTTTTGAGTTCAAAATTTGAGGTTAGAAGATACAATTTTTTCGTGTACCCAAGCGTTTGATTTAGTCCTTAATAGGGGTTTTAATAACTTAGTATGAAACAGCTGTAGGAGCTGACCTTGTTCACAGGATCCTCTCAAAACGAAATTTGGTGATAGCTTAATTTTATGTAAAGCAGTATTTCTTACCCGTACAGACATGTGCTTGCTTGTAGTAAATTTCTCCAGTTTCGTTTTCTAAGATTACTCCAATTGAGTAGGATTCTCCTGCGATCAAGCCATGCAGAACAATAGAATTGTTAAATTTCACCTCTATGCTTATTACATTGGTACAACTCGCTCCAATCGCCGTATAGCAGTCAACATGTTTCAGAGAAAGGCTGTCGTTTAATTCAGTGATTATGATTTCAGCTGACGTAGAGTTGCTCCAAATATCTTGGTCCATTACTTCCTCACCTATTTTGAAACGCAAAGTATAACAAGACTGCTCGTATCAGGGCGAAGCCCTGAATGTTCCGACTGCCTTTTAAGGTTTATGGAGCAGCAGTAATAACATAAAAAATTAATGAAACAAAAGAAAATGAAAAACTTTTTTTCTAAAATTTGAAAATTTTTCTATAAAGATTATCCCCCCACACGCCATATAAAGTATAAAACAATAGATTTCGCTCCTTGTAACAAATCAATTACGGCAAAGAAGCTTCTTTCAACCAATTTGGAACGATTTCTGAGACGCATTAAATCTACGCTTACGCGTTAATAGCGCGAAATATATCGCAAGTTAATTGTCCCAAGTGGGCCAAAACGGCAATGTTTAAACCCTTATAACTTTACGAAAAATAATCACAGGTGAAATATCTGTCCAGATTTAAGCTCAGGACAACAATGGCTTTCGAATGATTCAAGAAAATTCCGTCAAAAATGGCTAGTTAAAAAGTCGAAATTTGTCTGAAGAAGAAAAAAAACCCACCCGAGCACAAATATTTCGTTATTTTCGTATCGAAAGTCTGAACAAAATTTATTACTCGCGCACGGCATATCACTGAGCTTTCTAAATGCCGTTCAGTGGGTCCTAACTAGTTCCTGCTTCACAAAAACGACAGAATTTTCAAAATCTTTACATAAAAGTATTAAAAATTTGTTTCCAATCTAATCTAATGATAATTTATTCAAAACAAAAATAAGCAAAAAATTGATTGAAATGGATTGAGAGGACACCATTAGATCTAAAGGTCTGTTTTCAGACGCCTCAAGCAGAAAAAAGTGAATCTAGCATTATGCGCGCATAGCAAGATATGAAGCTGCTCGAAAACTCAAATTTTTGATCGAGTTACAGAAATCGAAAGAAAAACATCCTAAAAAGTAGCAAATAAACTGTATACGTTCCATGCTTTGGATTTTTCAATCTTGAAAAAATCTGGAACACCCCGTTATCCAAAATGAAATTCTTAAAAATTATGGTTTAAAGCGTGATTTGATTTTTCGCTGCTGTTTTGAAGAAATTTGGCCGATTTGAAAAAACTGATAGAACTAGGTGAAGAATTGGTTTAGTTAATATTGTAAGCGAAGTCTCTTTTTTACTTTGGTGTTTGTTCAATGTTTGGGAATGATTTTTTGTTTGTTTGTGGTGCGCTTACTTTGCAAAATAATTATCTCAGTACCGCTTATGGTTGACTGTAGAATTTATATTAGGAAAAATGTTCCCCCAGTTTCACAGTTATTCTTTTATTCTTTTAATTTTAGTTTCAAGTGACTTGTTTGATGTTATGTCTGTAATGGCCTAATCAGGTATCCCGTATTGTGAAACCAGTTAAACGCAAGTTTTTTAAGCTTCAAAAAAGTGCGCCAGTTTCAACTATTTGCACATTTGATGGAGCATTCTGCAAAAAGGAGCAATTTGTTTATTATTTTATCTATACGAGGAGAAATCTTTATATACTCCCTAGTATCCAAAAGGTTGAACTTTTTCGATTTCCCCGATTTTAAATGAAATACAGATTTCGATGTTTAACAGGTGATGGTTTTTCCCATCTTGATACGTATAGTCTCGGGCCATTTAGTGTTGGTTGGTGTTGGCTCAGCCATTTCACGATCTCATTCATGACTGCTTCATGTACTATTGATAACAATGTGAATTTGCACTATCGTTAACTGTTGCAGCGTGCGCATAATTAAGTAAGCTATATTCGCTTAGGTTTTTTGTCGACAGTTAACTCATTCATGTGTAGTTTGAAAAGCAATAGACCAAGAAATGAGCCCTGCGACACTCCACTTAAAACATTAGTTAGCAAAGATTTGTATTTTTTTTATACTGCGTACGATCTTATAAATACTGTGTTTGTATATCTTGTTTGAATGTCCTCTGAGTTTTTCAAGTAAATCGGAATCTTTAACGGTATCGAAGTTTTTTTTTTCAAATCTACCAATGGGCACTGTGTTACTGTAAAAGCATAAGTGTTTGTTGCAAGCTTTTTTTTCCATGAGCGATGCTGTGCCTCGTTTATCGCGATATCCTTGTAAAATAATTGTTCGAAAATTGTGCCAATTAAAGGATAATAGAAAAATGGTCTGAAGTTTTCCGGCCCCCTTTTCTGCCTTTTTTCTGAATTGGTAAAAATATTGGAACTTTCAAGCCCTTGGGATAACAGTTCTTTCTTAGCAATAATTAAAAGTTGTTTCAAATAGATCAGCAAAAAACTCTTTTATTTTTAGGGTTGCAAGTTGCCGTTTCCATTGTTGGCCCAATTTCTTTTCTCCGGGAAAAAGTTCTTTCCTTGCATAATTTGTGCTACGTGAGGTTTTCTCGTGTTTTGGAGAAATTCAAGTTAAAATTGCCGCAAACAACATGTTCATCTGATCGACCAATAGCGATACTGTCAAAACGGTTTTCCATTTTGTTAGGAGTTGTTTTGTCGCAGATGATTTTGGTTTGTAGACAACCCTATCAATTGACTTTTTTCGTTTCTTGATTTCCAATATTGCTTGATATTATTTTGTATTGACTTGTCCTTATATTTTTTTGTTGCTAAAGTCTTGATTCTATTTTGTACATAACGAGCCACACCTCCAACGTTTTAGAACCAGAGAAGATTGAATACATATAGTTCTGTGAAGCAATTAAACTTAAGTTAAATTGTTACGATTGTTCAGATAACTACGTTTCTGTGAGACCACTTAAGGTTGGTTGGTTCTCCAAATGTTCGATGAACTTAACACCTTTGTATTTGTCTTGCGGAAAATGTACTAATCCCATTGCTGTTTTTGTTGGCATTTTATAAATTTTTTAGAAAAAAGTTTAGTACTCTTCGTTTTTTTTTCGAAGCTTACGTGCTCGGCAGACCGTGTTTTTGTCCTGAAAATATAAAACCTTGCATTTCACAGAGGACATACTTCGTCTCTTCTCTCTGTTGTATATCTGTCATGCTTCATTACATCCTTATCCGTAACCTAGATAAATCAGATGAAAACAATTCCAAAAAAACTTCACGTGTTCCCCAGTTACATCATTATTAACCCGCGCGTTTCAGGTAGGGTTCCAGTTTAAAATACTATGATTGGAGGGATAACGCTGTTGGGCCCTAACTCAATAGGAAAAATAAAAATTCGCAGGCTTTAAAATTCCCAGATATGCGTTTCCACAAGCACTGTAGATAAATAAAGAATCATAGCCAACCAGCTCCTAGATTTCATTTAAGTATAATAAAGTTTCATTAAGTTAAATAACTAAATTAAACCAACAAAACTATCAAAAAGTCATTGAAACTTGCGTTATTAAAAAGATTTGCTTCACTTACAGCATACAGATAAACCCAAAAAATTTGAATTTTCAGTATTCAAAACTGAGTCGTTGTACAGCCGTAACGTCAATTACATTCTTAGGAAAAAACTTTTAAAAGAAAAGATGCAATAATTAGTAATGCTGTTTATTAAATTTTTGAATAAATAAATTTTGTTTGGTCAGTTTTTTGTCTTCATCTTTTCTAACTGCTTCCAGTCACAAAGTAGAGAAGAGTCCAAAAATCAGAACGGCCAGCTTTCAGGTGGTACATACCTTTTTGATTAAAAAACACAAAATATTCTAAGTTCGTCGTAGTTTGTTTTAGTTATCAGAGTCAATGACCTTAATTAAAGTCTACCCGCTGTTTTTTTTATGGCGAACTCTTCTGCACCTCAGCGTGTACAGCTGCATTTGACCGCTTTGTTCATGTGACTGCTTCTAACAGAGCCAACTTTTTGATATCTCGTTTGTTCACAAACTTAATTCCAGTAGCTTCTGACTGGTCGCGTAGTAATACTTGCACTACGTTGTTGCGCGAGCTTGTGATCAAGCCAAAGTCTTGTGCAATTACAGCACTTCATTCATTTTAAACAATTTCTTACTCAAGAAACGCAGCAAGGAAGGCATATACTCCAATTCTGTAGTTTACAGCCTTAGCCCACTCCCTCATAGGCTTTGGTGGAGAGTTCAATGGTTGCGCCCAATATTTGGATTACCGTCCCGGGCTGAGGTGTTCGACTCATGATTCGACCGACTCGGTCGAACGGAGTCCGATTTTCGTCGCAAATTAAGACGGTCGAACGAACACTATAATCGAACAAAATCGAATCATGAGTCGAACAGGGTCGAATCATGAGTCGAACAGGGTTGAATCATGAGTCGAACAGGGTCGAATCATGAGAAGTACAGGGTCGAACCATGAGTCGAACAGGGTGGAATCATTGGTCGAACCGGGTCGAATCATGAATCAAACAGGGCCGATAGAGTCGAACAAGGTCAAATCATGAGTCGAACACAGGCGAATCATGAGTCGCGCAAAATCGCAACATGGGTCGCGCAAAGCTTGATCGAATTGTTGTCGGAATTTTTGCCTGCATAAGCGTTATACAGATGCAGATTGCAAAATCATCCAGTATAATGTATTTTTAATGTGCAGATAGCTAGATCAACATATTTGCTGATGAAATACAGGACCGCCACGAGAAAACCTACACATGGCCCAACGTAAAACATAAGCAAATTTCTTAGGGTCCGTTTTTGTGAGAACATCTTCTTAAGTAACAAACAAAAAGTGTAAATTCTATAATGAGTTGCATTCCTCTATTTTCGAGGAAATAGTAGTTAACTACAAACTTTGAAACCTGTAAAAATCAAAAGTATACCTACAAAAATGCATACATATTATCAAGTTTGACAAGGACTAGAAAAGAGCTGCTAATCTGTTCTTGTTAGAGGCCTTGCTAGAATTAACCTAACAAAAAGCAAGCAATAGATTTACTTAGAAGAAGAAATTATCCTTAAGTTTTTATTTTGTCTTTTCATCATATCGGAAAGCTGAATAATTTAGGATAAGTGACTCTTTTTCTTTCGGCTGGAATTAGATCCAGCAGTTTTTTTCCAAATTTAGAACATTCTTGTCCGTAACTTGCCTATTTTCAGGGAATGTGAGT